AGGGATATTGGAGTCTCTGGGTTAGCAGCTTCAGGCTCCAGGGGCTTCTTAAAGCAACTCACACGAACTGACTCCGTAATGCCTCGCCTAACATCCACCTGTTCCTGAGGTTTTCGGATGAGTTTCTAGGAGCTAATGCAGTTGCCCCAAGTAAAGGTTCTGGTCCCAAGACCCATGGCAAAAACTCAGCTCCAACCCAATTAACGGTTGCCGAAGCCCCTGACCCAAACAGAACCCCATAATTCCCGACCACAGAAGTTCCTGAGACAGGAGACACGCAAACGCTCGAAATCCTAAATCCCACATTGATTAGGCTGTACTTTATGTGTTTAAAGTCTTATAAACCATCCTCCGTCCTTATCGCCCCTCCCTCCCACAGCTCTGTGCGCGGCTTTCAACAGGAGCCCAAGCGTGTGATCCGACTCGAGGAGCTTGCATTGAGTGCAATGTAGCGGCCTGAATAAGTATCAATACAATTTCGGTGTTCCTTGTAAGAATTACAATAAATATGTGAATCTGAAAGCTTATTCTAATTATTAAGGCCCCTATAGTAGGGTGGGGTTTCGCACTTTTAAGGGATTTGGTTGTAGGCTTGGGTTTAGTTTGGTTATAAAAGCAGCAGGAGGGCTCTGAATTTCATGAACCGTGGGTAGCAGTCACGTCTGGGTGCACCCTTCAACGTACAGCCTTTCACAGGATTTGCTGTTTTGGGGGGATCGTGGCTCTGAACAGGGGCGCACGCCGAGTACTTCCGTCCGAAGGAACTGCTTCGTCAAAGTGAGGGAGAGCCAAGCTCGAGAGCCGCTAAACCCTGTGTGCAAGACGCACTCCGTAGCGACCCATCGTGGAGGACAGTATATGACAATGCATCGAAGGGGGCCCAGATGCCTGTATTGGTATAGGAGGTAATGTTCCGTAACAAGCTACATATAGACCTTATAGTATCCATGACCCTCCGGGTAACTAAATCATAGGATGTCATGTCGCAACAGTAACCCTGATGGCACCTTCTAAGGGCTGCTGCTTCCCCAAAGGGTCCGCTGTACCTGTACAGTAGAATGTAGGGTTTCTACGTTAGGAAGTACAGTTTGGTATAGGGAAGTATCCCCCAAAACTGTACATAGGACACTTTGGCTTCTTCGAGTCACATATGAAGTATATAGAGTTTGTACTGGGCTGTGGTGAGTGTAAACAGGGCCCTATAGGGCTGCATCGAAATATCGGGGAGGGTGTACTTGTGGTTCCTTATGGGTATACTCGAAAAATCAGGCCTTCTCCATGTCTGAAGTACATGACAACCTTTCACAGATGTAGGTGACTCGGAAAGTGTGCTGGGTGGTCCCATAGCAGATTCATACGATCGAATGCTAAGCTTGCTTTTGAAGTGGCACCTGGTTGTGTCACCATGCACGACACCAACGTTCAAACCTTAAGCTCTAAGCTTCCCCAGGCTTCTTTTCCAACGACCTGGCAAACGGCTCCAATATAGAATTCAACTGAACCCTGCGAAATTAGCTTTGTGGACCCAAACCCTAAACTCTAAACCCTAAACCCACTATTTAAGACAAACCCTAGACCCTAAACTCCATAGCAAGGAGCTGCTGGGTTTGCATCTCAAGCCGACCGACGCGAGAAAAGACCCAGGACAGTATGAGCCCCTAAACCCTCATCTAATATCGGGCCCTTAATAATTCGAATAGGGTTTTGGGGTTCCTTATTATAATTATAGTAGTATATGCCTCAAACCCTATTCTAAATAATTATTGAGGCCCTTATATACCAAACCAAACCCAACTATGAACTTATGAACCCTGCCCGGAACCCCGTGGGGTTCAATTTGGGGCTTGGGTTTGATGGCTCTTGGGAAAGTGGGGAAGCTAGTGGGGGTTCGGGGCTTCATGGGTTCAGGGTTTAGGGTTTGTGGTTTTGGATTTAGGGCCGAGGGTATGCTGGGCTTCAGGTTCATCCTCTAGCGTGACTACAAGCCCAAACGACCCAACACCAATATTTCTGAGACATTCGTAATCAGTACCGGTGCTGCTTAAAATTTTATGCCTGAAACCTGGCATTTTGGGGGGGGTTTTGGTCGGGGTCCTTCGGGGCTGAGGGTATTCAGGTTCTTGTGAAGATGAGGTGCTGGCAACTGCGGGCTGCAAATCGCAAACATGTTCTTACGTAGTCGGTCTCTGGGCGAAACGAGGGCAATTCGAAGGCATGTCCGAAGCCCTTGCACATGCGAGACAGAATCTCAAAACCCCCAAGACTCGGAAGCTATAGCATGGGACGTTATATACCTACCCCGGACCGTCTTAAGCATTCATCCCTGAAAGTTTCGAGACTCCTCGACACTACCAAAAGAGCTTGCTTGAACCATCCAAAAAAACGCACACTTGCAAGATCAAGAGTCCGGCCCCTCACCGGCTATAGCTTGTCATAAAAAGCAAGACAAGGAACCAGAATCGAGACTTCAGTTAAGCCTTAAACCACAGATCTAGATCCATCTCTTTTTCTACTTACATGTCTATATCTATTCATACTGCAACTGTCTGTATCTATCTATACACACACACACATATATATATATATATACACATACATATACATACATGTACACATGTGTCTACACACACACACACGCACACACACACACACAACCCAAGCCCAATTTTTGCCTTTATATATATATATATACTTTCTCTCTCTCTCTCTGTATATATATATATATATATACATGCATACATATATTCAGCCGAGATGTAACCGCAGGGCCCTAGACCCTAAGACCCTAAGACGCTAACCTTGCAGATCACCGGAAGCCCTAAACCCTAAACCCCTAAAACCCTAAAAAGCCGTAAACCCCTAAACCCTAAACCCTAAACCCCTAAATCCCTAAAAATCCCTAAACCCCTAAACCCTAAATCCCTAAAAAGCCCTAAAACCCTAAACCCTAAACCCCGAAAAAGCCCTAAAACCCTAAACCCCTAAACCCTAAACCCCTATAAATCCTTAAAAAGCCCTAAACCCCTAAACCCTAAACCCTTAAATCCCTAAAATTCCCTAAACCCCCAAACCCTAAACCCGAAATTTTAAACCCCTAAACCCCTAAAGCCCGAAGCTTCGAAATTTGCAGCGCTCGGAAGGACCGCCTGCAGCGGCCGGAGATGTCGCTGCTCGCCCGAAGCACTTAAACTCTGGTTCTTGGTTTAGGGTTCAAGGGTTTAGG